GATAGTTAGTTTCAAACAAGAAAATAAGATTGATGGAGGAGTTTTTTCAAACGAGGAATTGTTTTCCAAATCAATGCATTCATTTTTGGGTTGGTGGCGTAATTGGGCCCGCCACCTCAGCTTGTACAAAGATACGCTTGGTTGAGAAATGTGCTTTTTTGGAAGTCTTTTGCCTAGCTTGGGCTTTGATATTCTTTTTGGGTAGCCCACAAGTAGAATCTTCTATTGCTTTGAATGGGCTTTTTTGGTGGGCCCAATTTCTAACAGTTTATTATCCCGTTTGTGCTTGGTCCCTATGCAGTCCTAGATGATTCTCCCTCCAAAAGGGCTTTTTTAATGGGCACATCTCCTTAATTGTTACCACATTAGCTTCTTTCATCTTAAGAGCATCTTTAGTTTTGGAAAATGGTGGAGCAATGGTAATGGCCCCACCATTATCACCACCAATCTTGGGGTGGGATTGATTACATGAAAAGTTTCATTTTTTTATAGGTATTATGGGATTTGGAAATTGAACATTACTATTGTACCCTTCTACATGTTTCAGGCAATGAAACGATGTCAGAATCTGAGAATTTTGATGAATTACTTTCACTGTCCAATAGGCTAGCAGAGGATGACATTTTATTGTGATTTGTAGATGAACTAGCCTTACTTGATTGGTGTTACTTCTTTTTTGAAATTGTTGGTTGACTTCTGAGATCCTCTTAGTAGGTTTCTTGTAGCACGCTCCTCAACCTCTCCTTCACTTTGCAGCGAAAAAGATTCATGCCCTATGCACCCACAAATTTTGCAGAACCATGGCAGCCACTCATACTTTAATTGAACAAAAATATCTTTATTATTTGAAATGGTGCTAGTGGATAGTATATGTCCTTAGCCCCAATCAAATTGATGTATATAAACATTTATTTATAAATGAATAAAGTATATTATTGTTTCATGTTAATGATGGTATGTTTTTTCTATGAATTACCCCTTAAACTGGACACTTATGAGGCTCACGTTAATTTAGAATGTTCTCAACCATTGAATAGACTTGGGGAGTTTATCTTAACAAGACTGACACTAGTATGCTGCCAAATAATTAGAGTAGCTTGTCTCAGTTGCTAAGGTTAGACCCAAAGCATAGGCGGTGCGTGTTTGGAAGAAACATTGAACCCAAACCAATATCTAGTTATGCCCTAAACCTTGGAGATAGATAGACACTACTAGAAAATTACACATAACCCCTAACTTGATTATGATACTACACTAACTAGTACACTGTGCTGCCTTTGATGTGCCAACCAGTGATATCCATACAGGTCAAAATATCTGGGCATGTTGAGGCAATTTAGAAAATTACTTGAGTGGGTGATCACAGCGATAGGATCGAACCCTTTGTTAGACAAGTGAATATTAGGGTTTACACTCTCTCTAATGGAAAGTTAAACTACCAACAATGGACTTCATCGGTGTTTGTAGTCTATATATATATTATTATATTGCTACTGTATGAAAAATGTTTATAAAAGGTTTTAATCCTGGGATCCATCCGAGCAGAGAGTGTGACATTACACCTTGCAACCAAGGGAGAGGTCATTCCCTATCAAAGTAGTGTTCTAATGATTATGGGTTGAGAGGTTAAGTGTAAGAGACCATTACAAGGTTGATTACCTAATGGGCTTTATCTCAATAAACCCATTATCCTTGGGTCTTCATAGGGTGGCTGAATCCAATGATCATTTAGGTGTAAATGTTGGGCGTAGATTGAGCCAATGCTGATTGGCTTAGGAGTTCAGTGCCCTAATTAGTGAACTCAGCCTAATCTCTTTCCACGGTGGGGCCAAACCCTTATGGACTTAGTGAGATCTTTGTAGGGTCCCACGCCATACAATATCATGCCCAAAGTTATCATGCAACACTTAGGGACATGAACCTTTAAGAAAAATGGGCCAAAGGCCCATTACTAATATGATTAGTTAAAGTGTCACGTGATGATTTGGGTCAAAACTGGGCATGGTTCTAGGTACGGAACACCTATCCTATTAAGAGGATAATGTTTATCTCTTAAAAGAGTCCAAATCCAAATTAGATTTAGATAGTCTCCAAATTATATTAGGAGAGTACTCTATATAAGGGGGTTAAGAGAAAGAGGGGAAACAGAGCTTGTTCGCTTCACTCTCTTGCTCTCTCATATTCTCTCTTCTCTCCAAGAAACCTTATCACGACCTAGCCATTGAAAGAACTGGTTTTTGTTAGTTTTCCTATTGTGTTTTTGCAAGAAAAATATTGGGAAAATCAGGCTTATGAATCCTAGTCGATCCAAGGTAGTTGGATAGCAGTTTTGCAGAAAATAGTGTTGCTGGACCGACTTGTCATTTATTGCACAGTCCACTATGAGAGCTTCGATTTGTGGACTTTGTATCATTGGTATTAGTTACAATTACTTTTAATTTCAGTTTCAAATCTAGTCTGATTCAGTGCAAGATCGATATGGAAAATTTAGTTTTCAAAATCATCGGGAAATTGATTCCTAGAATGGGTTAGAAAAACTTTGAAATTTTCTCAACCATATAACATGGTTTGACGATCCATATGATAGATTCTAAGCCTTCCAAGAGTCAGGTACTTGCCAAAACAGAGGTTGGAAGTTATGCAATGACACCTTGATTCGAGCGAACTTACACCACCACTCCACCTCTTTTGGGGTAAGATTGTAAGGCTTCCCAATAGTCTTAGTAATCTTCTTCGCTACATCCATCATGAAATACTCCAATGACAAGTTATGAAGTTGAACCCAAACGTCAAATAAATCCAATGCATAAGTTGAACGTTTCTTGTTGGCTTCACACTTAAGGACAATTTCTAAGTAGGAACTTTAAGCGTTTAATTGGACATCGGAGAGATATGTAGTGCTCAACGGATTTAATGGAGGAAGCAAGAAATTTGGTTTTTGGGTAAGTGAGCAATTCAGAATTTAACCATTAAGAGAACCCAATGCACATACACGTCTTCTAAGAAAACAAAAAAAATAAGGATTCTTTGTTATTCTCTGTTCTCTTTCCTATATAACTATCCATGATTTTGCTGAGACATGGCATAATGAGAGAGTCTAAAAGAATGGTGATATGGCTTAATGGAAGGGGTGATAAGGGAGGGGGAATGGGGAGAGAATTAAGGAGAGAGAAGCAAGGGGTGTTTGGAGCAAGGATAGACTTTTTGACGTGGACCACCTTGACATTGTTCCAACTATACAAATGCATTAAATGACTATAGTAAGTCTTTATTACTTTCCCTTTTTCAAGACAAGTTTAAAGTCTCTCTTCAAATACATTAAATCTCCAGTGGAGTTGAGATCACCCGCCAACAATACAAATTCCAACTTGATCTGACATTGCATATCACTACAAGAATTTCATTATTTAGAGGCGTTTTCTATGGCGGCATTTGCTTAAGTGCCATTATATATGCAGCAAAAGCGCCACTAAATGGAACTTTCCAGTGGCAGATGTTAAAATGCCGGAAAAAGTATATGTGAAATGCCACTATATATTTGTTTTAAGTGGCTTTTATTAAATTGTCGTTGAAAACATTTTTAAAGCGCCACTAATGTGGGTTTAGACATTTAATAGGTAAATTTTTATTTAAACCATTGATTTAAATTCAAATCAATGGTGGAGATGCAAATCTAAGAGAGAAGAAAAATAGCGGGATTGAAGTTTCTTCCTCCCGCGCGCGCATTCTCATTCGCCATTTTGCTCGATTTTGCCCTCCAATGCTGCTCTTCGAAGGACAGTCTACCATTGTGAAGGAGGCCTTCCCGTTTTGCTATCTCCTTTCTAGTGACCTTCAATTCCGGCGACGTTCGAGGGAAGTGATTGCCCGGTTTTTTCCCTCCGACACTGCTATCCGAAAGAGAGCCTACTACCATTGCGAAGGATTCTGTTGCCAAAGAACTCTTCTCTCCTCTCACCCATCTGAGACCACCACTGAAAGATTCTAAATTTCTGATACAACAAAATGTCTTCCCCAAGCAAATGCCAAGAGATGGATCTGATGAAATGGTAAAATTTTCAACTACCCTTCTTAATTCTGTCTTTTTTTTCTTAGTATTCCTGGTAATTTTGACTCTGTTTCTTGTTTATTTTTCTTCTATTAGGATGATGAGCGACTACAAGGTAGAGATGACCAACGATGGCTTGCAAGAGTTTTATGTCGATTTCAATGGACCCAGTGATAGTAAATTTTCCACACCATTTCAATGGTTAAGACTTTTAATTCTTTGGTTCAGCCATTTGTCCAGCAATAGATGCTCAAAACTATACATTTGTTTTCTGTTCTGATGAAGAGAAATCAAATATAGGCAACTGTAAGTGTTCTATTAAGTTAGTTTTCTTGTTATTCGTTGTCATTACTTTATTAGTTTATAACATGAATTTAGAACTCTTATAGCCAATTGGCTCTTTTACTATTAATTTCTTCAGTTCTTGGTATTGCTATATAGTTACATCAGCTTTAAATTATTTGATTGCCCATACTATTCAGTGAATTCAAGAACATTACTTGTGGGTTGCAACAGGTCCTTATCAAGGGTGTGTGTGGAGGATCAGAGTAGAGCTTCCAGATGCTTATCCATATAAATCTCCATCAATTGGCTTTGTTACCATGATCTACCACCCCAATGTAGATGAAATGTGAGCTACTGCACATTGATAACTATGTGTTTTTTTTAGTGTTTTCATTAAGTTTTGCCCGTGGATGGTATACAAAATGCATTTATTTTTCAGCTTCACCACTTCATTTTGTTTGGATGTAATCAACTAGACCTAGGGCCCCAAATGTTCGGTAAAAAGTCTTAACCATTATTTCTGTGATGCATATAGGATTGTTATGCCTTTGTAGAAGCATTTTATTGGAAATTTTGCTGCTTTTTAATTTTATGGATCAATGTAATTGCACTCAGTTGTTGACGTTGATGCTTCTTCTCAGATCTGGTAAATGTATTTGAAGTGTTCCTTCCACAACTTCTTTTGTATCCAAACCCATCAGATCCATTGAATGGAGAGGTTGCAACTCTCATGATGCGTGACTGAGCTGCATATGAACAAAGAGTCAAAGGTGGTTACCCTTCCCAAAGTTCAATTTGTCTGATTATTTTGCTACAATGTTAATGTGATCTAATTGAAAACCCATTTATTATAGCTTTTCTGTATATTTAGAACAATAATAACTGAGAAATTCCTTTCCAAGTTGGAAAAAGAAATTGAAAGAAAAATCTGCCCATAATATGGTTTTATTGATATTCATTTTTCTCTTACATTCAAGATGTGTAGTCTTAATTAGGTTCCATTTTGTACCTATTATAAACATTTACTAATTTGCAAAACTGAACAAATTTTAATACATGTCAAATTTTCCTACATTCAATTTTGGTCTAACTTATTATTATTTTTTTCATTCTTTTGTTTTCTTTATTTTTTGGGTAATTTGTTAGTCATTTAAATATTAATTAGGATGTTAGTTTTGGCCTTTATCAAAAAAAGGATGTTAGTTTTGGCATAGCTCTATATTTTCTTTTAAGAGGTTCACCGGTAACACAAACGTGGGGACACTAGGACTTCTAAATCTGATCCATCATCATTCCTGGAGTACATCCAAGCACTATTGTAAAATCCCTTGTTGTACCTTGAAGTATATTTACTATCTTGACAAAATTATGATATGTTGTTATCCCAGTAATCTTGCTCTTGCTCAAGAACTTAGGAAGTTCATTAATTCCATTTCTGTTCTCTAAGCAGAATTTGTCTTCTTTTTGTATTGTCTAGTTTTTCAGCACAGGAGTAAGGAATTGCTATATTTTGTTTTTCCCTTCCCTTTTTTGTTTGATGATATTTTTGTGTCATTTGCTTTACTCTTCACTGCAATCATTGGATGTTTCTATTGGGCACCTACTTCATCTTTTTTAATTAATTAATTCATTTTTAGCACAGATGATCATCATCAAACATGTACTCAGTCTTCCTTGCAATACAAAATTTTGTGATTGGTCAAGTTTTTTAATTATCATATTGTTGAGATCTTTGTCTTGTTCAACTTGTTCATATCGAGGGCCAAAGGTTTGTTGTCACTTTTAATTGGTGCCTTGATTGGGGAAATATCCAGTAGCTTTTCTGAGTCCTTTGACATTTGTTTTAGAATTTCATATTCTTATATTTTTCTTTTTTTTAGTTGACCCATATTATATGGGACAAGGCTTAGATGATGATGAGACAATGGGTTAATACTGGCACTTTGTTTCTGAATCCTTTAGTTTTGTTTTGGAACTTCACTTTGTATTAAGCACTAGAGATGCTGATTTGTTGTGGTTTCTATATCTTACTTTAGGATAGTACAAGTCTATAAGAGTATTTTGGATGAGAATTATACTTTGTAGAATTTGAGTTGTGGAACCTTAAGGTTCTTTCTCTCAGGTGTAATGGTAAAATCTCAGGTTAACAAGCATGATACATTGGTTCAAGTCTGAGAGTGGCCACTTTGTGCTAAAAAATGCCAAAGTTTGGGTCCATGTACAGTTAACCTAGCAAAAGTCTGGGGATAGCTGGGACCAATGTAGGTACTGGCCTTCTTTTAACAGCCAGGTTCTTTCACTCGTTTCCTTGCAATTTTTTGAAAACCTGGATGAGGCAAGAAACCAGGAAGGAGTATGATCCACTCTTTTAGCAGTTCAACTGCTGGTTTATATAAACCACTGAACTAGTGGCTTTTTGGTCTCCAGTTTTCCCAAATAGCGGGGCCCAGAATGGTTTTGAGAAATACTGCTTCCAAACTTTTTCTAAAGAACTATCTTCTTCATTGCAACCTTTATTTTTCACCTCACTAAAATGGTTTGGCATCTCTCTGTTCAGTGGTCCTGAAAGGTTAGGCATTTATGTGTTTAAAAGGTGGATCGATGCTAAAACTTTTCCTTTTCAAGGTTTGAAGATTTTTTTTTCTTTCCATTATTGCTAAAGATAGTTCTCAATTCTCAAATGCAATTAGATGGGGTGGTGGTGATGGAGGTGGAGGGCATGTTTCTTTGAGCATGTTGTTCTAGAGTGTGTCAAGTGTGTTGTTCTGCCATTTTATTTTGTTCAGTGCATTTTCTTTTTGGTTTGCTCCTGTTTCTTTATCCTCTTGAACTTTGCAGTAGATCACTTCTATTCATACACGCTTGTATTTTCTTATTCTTATTTGACCATGTACCACTTCATTGTCTTGTAGGTGATATGTTACATGGCTTTCACTTTTCACCATTCACTTCTCTTGACAAGCATGGTTGGTTCTTATGCAACAACCATAGAAGTTTCTACCTATTTGAAATAATTGAGAAAATTTCAAATTCTCTCTATCTGAGTTCTCTTGGGGTTGATGCTGCAATACTTACTTTTGAAGCCCTTTCTGAGACATTTGAATTTGCAAGGAAGTGGGTTCCATTCTGTAAGAAGTTTAATATTGAGCCTCGGGCTCCAGAATGGTACTTTACTCAGAAGATTGACTATTTAAAGGATAAAGTCCACCCAAACTTTGTGAGGGAACGACGTGCAATGAAGGTCTGTATCCATAGTCTAATATAGTTTGTTGTCTTGCCTTGTTAAACAATTTATTCTTGGATATCTATTTCTTTTGGATTCAACAAGTGCACAGTTACAAAGAAAGAAGCTTTGAAAAATAGTTTTTTAACTTTTTACTGCGGAATGGAAAGAACCAAGAAGTTTTTAATTTTTGAGAATGTGTCTAGCTCAGGGGAAGAGGTGTTGGGGAGATCAGACCAGGCATTATGTGCTTGGGTCAATTGTCTATAGAAAATTCAAGGGTCTCAAAGTATAAGCATTACTCCAAATTTCCTACTCACTTTTTTTTACCCACTCTAAAGTAGGTGAGAACTAAAAGACACAATCATAAACTTGTATGTTGTCCTAGAAAAAAAAAATAGTGAAAGCACACAAAATAGTCCATTTGCAACAAAGATATAATATTTGTTATGTAACATTTCTCTCTATTTATCTATCTTTCAGCCATCTATTATTAGATTGAAAGATATAATATTATATCTAGTTTTTATTAAAAATATGTATTTGCTTTTTCAGGAAATTGTTAACATGGAGGATATTGAAGATATTTACTTTGGATTTTGATGAAGACTTTTGAACATCATAGAGATGATTTTTTTTTTGTTATATCCTTTGTTCGTTTTTGGACTATCCATTATGGATCTATGACCTGAAAGTGACAGATGTATATATAAACACTTTATGATAAATTTGTTTTACATGAAAAGGGTTTATTTGGTTAAATTTCATAATCATTTGGTTTTTTTAATTAAATATATAATATGCATTTGATTTAAAGGGCATGATGAAATTAATATTTWTTGRTAYAKGTCCAWWTACCATTATATAATAAGCAACATCTTTTTTGTTGCTTCATTTTATTTTTTTTAGCATGTATGAATGAATATGTTTAGTCATTTAGTGGCGCTTGTAAATGCCACTAAATCCTAAATGAATAGATTGATTAAGACTTTTTAGTGGCAATTATAAATGCCACTATACAGATAAATGTTTTATGACATTAAAAAATGCCGCTATATAAAAAAAAAATGCTATTATATTGTTATTGCTAGCTTTTATGGTAACCTTCTAGTGGCATTTATAATTGCCATTATCTGTTGCTATTTAGTGGCACTAAGAATTGCCACTAAATGTGCCAATAAATGCCATCATTAAACTTAAAAATGGCATTTGAAACTGCCATTAAAGGATGAATAAAACGCCACTAAAAATAGTTTTCTTGGGCGTTTATATAAGTGCCACTAAAATTTGGATAAACGCCAATGAAAGTAAGTTTTATTGGCATTTATTTAAGTGTCACTAAAAATTGGATAAATGCCACTAAAAATTGGATAAATGCCGCTAAAAATCGCTTTTCTTGTAGTGTATCTTGCTATAAAATTGAGGCCCACCATAAAAGTATTGGTAGGGTTAGAAATCATATTAGACATGATTGAACCAAATCTAGTGGCTAACTAAATTTTAAAATTTTTCTAACCCAACATAGGAATCAATTTCTTAGTGATTTTGAAATCTGAAATTTCAGGATCAATATTGCATTGAACTTAACCAAATTTGGAACTCAAATTAATTTCTAATTACACTTGATATGGATTCCACAAATGCTACTTCTAAAGTGGTAATTCATGCCCAATGTCAAATATGAATCAACCTTCCATCAAAATTATTTTATTTTAAATTCAACGAAATAGGGGAGCCGCTTGGGAATTCTCGAGGTGCTCCTTCCTTTGCTTCGGTGGTTGCTGTCGCCACGAATCCTTTTCCTGTAGTTCTTGATCCACCGACGGTGGATATTCCTTTGAAGGTACCTTCAATCAAGTGGGGAGAATTGGCGATGCTTTTCTCAGAAGAAGATATTGAGAAATCTCTCTCCCCTCTCCAATTTGCTCTGGTCAGAAAATGCTCATATGGTCGTCATTCCCTAGTGAAGATCAGGGAATTTCTGGTAGGTACTTTCAGACTCCAAAAATCCATTGTAGTCACTGCATTAGATCCGAGGCATGTGCTTCTCAGATTTGAAAGTGAGGAGGAATACTTTTGCGTTTGGTTGAGGGAGGCTATTATTATCAAGGATTTTCTACTAAGAGTTTTGAAATGGACGCTTGGGTTGGAGTTAGGTTGGGAACTGTCAGTGGTTCCTCTTTGGATTTCTCTACCAATGTTGTCGATTAACTTGTACAAAGACAAGTACCTACGATCAATTGAGTAGGTAGCTGAAAAAGTGCTAAAAGTTTATCCAACTACTGCTCATTTAATCAGAACAACCGCGACTAAGGTTTGCATGGAGGTTGATTTGTTGAAAGAAAACCCTAATCATGTTTGGGTTGGGCTCAACAAGGAGGGTTTTTGGTAGAAAATTGTTTATGAGAACCTCTCCAAATATTGCACTTTCTGCTTCAAACATGGTCACAGTGAGGGGGAATGCAAATTGAAACTGAAGAGAAATTTGAAATCTTAGGGAGAAGTTACCAAGTCTAAATCCACTTCAGCTAAAATGCCTGTTAATCCTAAAGCACCCGGGAAAAAACAAATTGTGAAGTAGGTTTATTAGAAAATTCGAAAAACCCCAACAACGGTTCTAGAAGCTGTAGTGATAGAAAATACAAACACAAAAGAGATCCAGGACCAGCAACCTGGAATCCCAGAATAGTTGATGTTACCTACAGAGGGGGTGCAGACATCTTTTGTTTCTAAAGATGATATTAGTTTGAAGCCTGTTCGGCCAGTCAGTCAGGAGACGATATCTTTATAAACCTAACAGGATCTGGAGCCTTGAGGAGCTGCAATAATCCAAGTTGGAATTGGACGAGAGGCTTTCTCGTAGGGGGTACAACACTGGCCTCAATTCTGATGCCGAGCTGCTTGATAAAATGATTGTGAGAGCTTAAAGTTCTTCCTACGCCTTATCTGAGGATGAAGTCGGGTTAAAGGTGGAAGCGAACTGGACACAGGTGGTTCACAAGAAAAGGCCTCGCAAAAAATATATATAGAGTGAGAATAGACTAGTTACCAGATCACAAACTGGCCAAGGTATGACTACTTCTAAATGTTCTCAATGAATGGTCTATTCTGGAATATTAGAGGGATTGCAAATGATCCCTCTATCACTCATCTAAAAAACTTTGTAAATTGCATAAGTTAGGTGTAGTAGTAGTTTCTGAACCCATGATTGGGGATGATAGACTTTCCCATATTTTCAGGAGACTCAATATGACTAGTTTTATGGTAAATATCAATAGTAAAATTGTTCTTTTTTTTAATAGCCTTTTCTTTGTACAGTTGATTGAGGACTGTGATCAAATCCTATCGGTGAAAGTCACCACCACATCCAATGAGAATTTTGTTCTTTCTGTGGTTTATGCCAAATGTGGTCGGTTGGAAAGAATGTCTCTTTGGGACAGAATTCAAAACTTAGCCTTTGGTATTTTTGAACCCTTGTTGTTAGCTGGAGACTTTAATGTGATCACTTGTAGAGAGGAGAAAGTGGGGGGAAGAAATCCTGATGTATTTGCAAAGGAGGATTTTGTTTATCTAATAAATGTCGCAGGCCTAGTTGATTTGGGTTTCTCTGGAAGCAGATTTACATGGTGCAATAACAAAGAGGGCTTGGATTGTGTTTGGGCTTGTCTAGATCGAGTTCTAGTTAACTCAAGCTGGGTGCAATCCTTCCCTTTGAAGCCTATGACACATCTTCATTGCACCTGTTCAGATCAATGCCCTCTGGTTTTTTTTTTTTGTTGATTGGAAAGACAGACAGGTCCCAAACCTTTTAGGTTTCAACAGATGTGGATCTCCCATCACTCTTTTCACACGGTTGTCAGGGATTGTTGGACTGAGGAGGTTCACGCCAATCCATTGATGAATTTATTTCTCAAACTACATAAATTAAGGAGTAAACTCAAGCAATGGAATTGGGAGGTCTTTGGGAATGTTCATCAGGTTGTCAAGGAGGCAAAAGACAGGGTTCAACAGGCTGAATTGAATCATTTACAAACGAACTCTGCTGCTAGCTTCACGAAGTTAAGGGAGGAGAGGAAGAAACTCCATGAAGTTCACAAACAGGAGAAAATTTTCTGGAGGCAAAAATCTAGAATTAAATGGTTGAAAGAGGGGGATAGAAACTCAAAATTTTTTCATCTTTCTATTAAGCTGAACCGAATGCGGGGCAGAATCAGCAAAATTAAAAGTTCTACAGGTGATTGGATTTCTGACCTAGAGGAGCTGAAACATGGTGCTGTAAACTATTATTGTAGTGTTCTTTTAGAGGAAGGGGTTGTTGGTGATGAGGAATTGATGGAAGTCATTCCGTGTGTGGTTAATCAGGAAGACAATGATAATCTTTTGGCCATTCCTTCTGAGACAAAAATTCAAGAGGTGGTTCATGCCATGGACAGGGATAATGCACCAGGGTCGGATGGTTTTACAAGACATTTTTTTTGTCTCGTGTTGGGACATTGTTGGAATGGATGTGGTAGGGGCTGTGCAATTCTTTTTTAATGGTGGCCAGTTTCCGGTGAGTTACACTTCCTCCTTTATTTCTTTGATACCAAAATGCAAGGTTCCTAAGAGTTTCATAGATGTCTGTCCCATTAGCTTAGGTAATTTCTGCTACAAAATTATTGCAAAAATCTTTACTAAAAGAATGGTTGGTATTTTACCTAAGATAATTTCACTAGAGCTTCATTCAGGGGCGAAACATCATGGATAATGTAGCTTTGGTACAAGAAATAGTTATAGCTATTAACAGAAGGGTTGTGGGCGGAAATGTAGTGCTTAAACTGGATATGGCTAAAGCTTACAACCGACTGAATTGGGACTTCCTCTTCAAAGTCCTGAGATGGTTCGGTTTTAATGAAACTTGGATTGATTTGATTAGGAAAATGGTTGTGAATTACTGGTTCTCAGTTCTTTGGAATGGAGGAGTCACAGGGTTTTTTCAGTCCACCAGAGTCTTGCTGCAAGGGGATCCCCTCTCGCCGTATTTGTTTATCATTGCAGAAGAGGTACTCGGCAGAAACTTGTCCAAGTTGGGCAAAAAGTATCCTGTAGATGTTTATGTGACTCATAGGGGTTGCCCTCCTATCACCCACAATTTCTATGTTGATGACACCATTATCTTCACAAGAGGGTCCAAGCAAGTGTTAGAGAGAGAATGTCAATAATCCGAAGGTACGAGCAGTGTTCGGGTCAATTGGTGAACAAGGCGAAGAGCTGTTTTTTCACCTCAATAAAAGCTTCTCACAGTAGAATCCAAATCATAACTCCAGTCATGGGCTATGTAAATAAGCCTCTTCCCTTCACCTACCTTGGGATCCTAATTGGTAAGGGCCACGTGAAAGCAAAAGCATTTGATGGGATTGTGTAGAAAGTGGCAGCAAAAATTTCAGGCTGGAAAGGAAAAATGATTTTAGCTAGAGGTAAGTTGGTCCTAATTAGACATGTATTGAGCAATATTCCAATATACTTAATGTCAACAGTTGCAACTCCCAAGAAGGTTATAAAGTGCCTGGATCAGTTGATGAAAGGATTCCTTTGGTCTAATTTGGAGACAGGTAATCATCACCATTGGATAGCTTGGAGGAAAATTGTGAGATCTTTTTCTGAAGGTGGGATATACATTTAAAGCTTATCTGATGTCCAAAAAGCACTCAGGTTGAAAGCTTTGTGGCGAGTGTTGTTTCAAATTCTTTGTGGGTTGAATTTTTCAGAGCCAAGGTGTTGAAGGTTGATCATTTCTATACAGTCATCACTCCATGCTATACTTCTCGTACTTGGAAGGTGAACATGGAACTAAGAGGTGATTTAGTCATTCTTTTCAGATGGTTAGTGGGAAGGGGAGAAATCAGCTTATGGTTGGATAATTGGACTATGGATGGTCCTCTAATTGAGAAAGCCATTCAACTAGATGGTCTTAATTTGCAATTGAGAGTTTGTGATGTTCTTGATGAGGTAGGAATTTGGAGGTTAGATCAGGTTAGGGGGTTTCTTGAGGATGAGGCTCTCCGACATATTCAGAGGTCAGGTGTGAAGCTCTCTGATAGACAAGACAAGATAGTTTGGCTTCCTGAAACGAAAGGGGAATTCTTTGTTAAAATAGCTTGGTCCTTCTATAGGGATGCTCATCCTACGGTGGAATGGTACAAGGTAGTTTGGAATGCTCTAGTGCCCACCAAGATAAGCTTCTTTATCTAGAAACTTATGGTGGGGAAAGTAGGGGTGGACTCTGATATAAAGGAGTTGGGGATCCCTTTTGTATCCAGATGTGTCTGCTGCCGTGATCACTTAGAGGAGAATGGTAATCATTTGTTGGTGCATGGCTGTCTAGTTCAAAAAGTTTGGTTTTTCTTTAACAGATTGTTTGGGCTCCCCTTCATGGGTAATGAGAGTATCAAGGAGCTTCTCTCTGTTTGGTTTTCAACAACCTCAAGAAAAAACCAATGAGTTGTTATAGTAGGGCTGATTGCTTGTTTTACAGTTTGGGAAATCTGGAAGGAAAGAAATAAGCATATAATGGAAAATAAATTAAGAAGCTCTAATATGGTGATTTGGGTAATTGTGCGATGGATTCATGAGGTATCCTCTCCTCTAAATCTCACCCACAAAGTGAGTTTTACTCAATAACTCTCTGTACAGGGTTTGGGGTTGTGAATTCACCCAATTAAGAATAGGTACATCAAGGTGATGCATTTATTAGCAGTTGCAGAGGGTTACTTTAAGTTGAATGTTGATGGTGCTTCTAGAGGAAATCCTGGCCCTTGTGGTGGAGGGGGTATCATCAGAGATGGAAGAAATGGTTTCATTAGTGCTTTCTCTAACACTTATGGTTCACACTCCAATTTAGTCGCAGAGGCTATGGCTTTGTTGGATGGCTTACACTTGGCGGTTGCATTTAATTTAGAGAATACAATGGTGGAATCAGACTCCAAATTTCTTATTGATATTCTCAATGAAACTTGTACAACCCCTTGGAAACTTTGGTTTTGGTTGTCTCAAGTTCAGGAGCTTATAAATAGATTGGATTTCTTTTGTGTTCATATTTACAGAGAGGCTAACCAACCGGTGGATGCTCTTGCAAAGCTTGGTTGCTTAGAGTCTTAGAAAACCGTTTATGATTACACACGTACACTTCCTTCACACGTACAACACTTGATTACAGCAGATGGTTTAGGTCTTCCTTTTCTGAGAATTTGTTGATTTTAGGTTGCTTGGACGCTTAATGTTTATATGATCCAGGCTCCCTTTTGTATAGAGCGAGGGGTAAAGCTTCACATCCCCCCCTCCACGGTTTTCTGCATATTAATAAAATTTTAGTGGCCACCCCTCCACCGGGAGTACATTTTGGGGCCCAAAAAAAAAAGAACTAGCCTTCCATTGAAAATGGCGTAGTAGTGAAGTGAAGTCGATTCAACAACTCAATTTCTACACTTCGGACCTCCAATCTTCTTGGTGATTTTGAAATCTGAAATTTTGGATCAATCTTGCATTGAACTAGATTAGATTTGGAACTCAAATTAATTTCTGATTATACTTAATATGGAGTCTACAAATGCAGCTCCCAAAGTGGTAATTCATACCCAATGTCAAGTCCAAACCAGTCTTCTGTTGAAAATGGCGTAATAGTGAAGTGAAGCCAATTCAACAACCCAGTTTCTACACTTTAGACCTCCAATCTTCTTGGGATGGATGTAGTAGTGTGAGCCTTCTTAGGATTGATGTTTTTCTCCAAAAACATAGTTAGAAACTGAAGGAAAAACATCCCTACTAGGGTTGGAATGAACTAGGGTTTTATAAGAGCAAGGGAGGAGAGAGAGAGAGCGCTTAGGATAGAATGGTTTGTCCATCCCTCTCTTTCCTTGTATAAAGTACTCTTCTAGTCCTAGTAGGAGTTGAATTTAAATCAAAACATGATTAGAATTTATCCTTATGGATAAACTCTATCTTATTAGAGGAATGGGTGCTTCATACCCATATCCATGCCTATCCCTCATGTGCCTATTTAACTAGTCATATTAGTAATGGGCCTTAAATCCATTTTCTTTAATGGTTCACTTTCATATGTGTTGTAAGGTCATGTAGGCCTGAACATTGTATGGCGTGGAATCCACAAAGGTTTCGCACAAGTCCATAAGAGTTCAGTTTTACCTCTACAAGAGATTAGGCCGAATTTACTCCCAAAGGCAATGAACCCCTGACCCAAATCAGCTTAGGCTCAGTTTGGCCCAACATTTATATATAAACGATCATTGGATTCAACCACTCTATGAAGACCCAAAGACAATAGACTTATGTAAGATGAAGCCCATCAGGTAATCAACCTTGTAATGGTCATTTGCACCTAAACTCTGGACCCATAATCATCAAAACATTGGTCATAGGGAAAGACATATTCCTTGACTACAAAATGCAACGTCACACTATCCACTCAGATGTATCTCGTGATTAAAACCTTTTTTAAACTTTTCCATAAAATATTAATATATCCTATAAATACATTTTTGCAAATCAAAATTCAAATACAATTGAAATCCATTACTGGCAGTTTTAGGTTCACATCATAGAGAATGTAAACCCTGGTATTCACTTTGTCTAACAATGGGGCCAATCTTATCAATATAATCACCCACTTAGGTAATTTCTTAAAATGCCCCTAACATGCCTAGATATTTGACCCTTAATGGATTTCACTAGTTAGTACATCAAAGACTGTTCGGTCCAAAACCTAGTACAATTTCATACTCAAGTCTAGGGTTAAGTGTAACATGGTTTTCAAAACTAGACCGGACCGGACAATTGGATTGGAAAAATCTGGAACCGGTCACCTGACCGATTTCGTTTTCCCCCCAAACCACTTTTTTTTCCCAAAACTATTGATTTTGGTCAGCAAACCGCTGAACCAGTCGGTTAACCATTCGAATGGTTTTGACCGTTTTTCAATTTTTTTATTTTTTGTCAGAACGGGCCGACCGTTCGAACCGGTAACCGCACCCCTAACCGGTTCAGTTTTAAAAACCATGAAGTGCAATTTTCCAGTTTTGCCCATCTATCTCCAAGGTCCAGTGTATAACTAGAATTTGGTCTGGGTTTAGTGCTTCTTCCAAACACCCACTAGTTGTGTTTGATGTCTAACCCTAGCAATTGAGACAAACTGCTTCACCAATTTAGTTGTACATCAGTGTTAGTTTTGTTAGGATAAATTCCTCAAATCTATCCAATAGTTGGAAACATTTTAATTAATATGAGTCATGTAAGTGTCTAGTTTAAGGAATAATTTACCAAAACATATCAAATGTGATCATGAAACAATGATGTACTTATATTATTCATAAATGTTTGTGTACATCAATCTAATTGAAGCTAAGGGCATTCATTGTCTAACAAAAAGTGGGACCTATCATGTATGAGATGTGAAGTGTTAGATGTTGTTGGTAGAATGTTGGAATGTATTTTATTGGTAAGTGATCTAGACTCTTGTGCATTGGCACCTTAGAGCATAATAGATTACAAATAGAATTATATAAATTAAAAAAAAAATCAAAAATCAAAAAGGAAAAAGGAAAAAAAAAGATAGATGCCACATAGGACAATTCCATTTTAATATATAGATATATAAGATAATTGGATTGGTTCGGATTTTGGTGTGATCTATCTCAATAGGAATCTGCCTTGATTATAGCTTCATATGCGAAAATTAGGGCTATCAATGGGTCAGTTTGATTTGACAAACCTGAACCGATGGGGCCAATTCTAGTACCAAGAATTGGAATCAATGGGTCGATTCTAGGTCCTGATATAATGTCTTGATTATTATTGGTTTGGAAAGCAGTTCTACCTAATCCCAAACCGATTTAGACCCGACCTGAGCTATATATAATATTTAATATATTAAACGTATATATTTATTTTAATTGATTAATTTATTTATTATAATTAGGTTTATCGGGTCAGACCCGATTGTTTCAGTTGGGTTTAAAAATTACAGATCCTGTAGGGTCCGGTTCGGTTTCAAGTTCTCATATTTCATGTCGGCTCGGTTCCGTTCTATCTGATCCCGGCCCAGACCCGACCCGTTGTCAGCCCTCACGAAGATGTTCCTCGAGTGACTAACCGTAGGCGACGACGTCCGGGCGTGAGAAGTTAGGATTTTTCAAAGTACAGAAGAAGAAAGCGAGAAAATCAGGTGACTTCACCTCGTCCCTCTTATTCATCTGATGAATCTAAATCAGCGAATGTAGCTCTATCCCCTTATTCTTACAAATGTGAGAATTTATCTGTTCAGTGTGGCGAGGTTTGGGCGTTAAAGGAAGTTGGGGTTTTCAGCAGAAGAAAAAAGTTGAAGGTTTTTTTGTTTTTTTTTTCAGGTAGCTTCACCTCTTCTCCTTCTCCAATCTCCTAATACCCGAGAAATAGTATCATTAGAATGAAAAAAATGCCATACACAGTGACCAAAAGACTCTTACGTGTTCAAAGGAAACTTGTCTCTCCATTTCATTTGCAGAGATCAAGGTGAGAAGACAAAGAAACCCTAGAAGGCGTTGGTAAGAATGGCGATTGCAAGAACAGGAGTCTTCGTTGATGATTATTTAGAATGTGAGAACCTATATTTAAATGTTATTCGTTGAAACTCTCTATTGTTATCTGTATATTTATTTATCTGTTTTAAATTTGAAGATTCAAGCACATTACCAGCAGAACTTCAGAGGCTTCTTAACACCATGAGAGAACTCGATGAGAGATCACAAGGTAGAACTTTGACTCATAATTTGGCCTTTTTCCTGTAACATCCAGTTCGAAATCCATTGGGCTTATGACACTAATGAAAACAAATATTTCATATTTTTTTCATTGAGTCTTTTTTTTTTTTGCTATAGTAGGCAATAATCGAAAGTCTTTGACTTCTCTTATTACTTTGTAATCTTCCATTTCCTTGGAAACGTTATCAAGTTACATTAATTTGCAATACCAAGGGGTGGAAGGAGGAATCAAAATGTCACCTAGTAAACTGGAAAAAAATCTGCAGCTCCAGGGAGAATGGGGGTCTAGGGATCAGAGCATTGAAAGATACCAACACAGCCTTGCTAGGGAAGTGGTTCTGGAGATTCAATGAGTATACGGGTAGTCTGTCAAGAAGGTTTATAGTGTCCAAATTCAGTTCAAGCAGAAGGGAGTGGGAGACAGAAGAAGTAAAATCATCCTATGGGTGCTCATTGTGGAAGGCAATTCAGAAAGTTCATCCTCAGTTTTTGTAGAGCATAAAATATGAAGTGGGAAATGGCCTCAGGGTGCTTTTTTGGAAGGACTTCTGGTGTGGGGATGGCCCATTAATGACTCTCTTCCCTGATCTGTTTGAGATTTCTGTAAACAAGGATGCAACAGTGGCTGATTGTTTGGAGAGGCAGAATGGACATTGTATTTGAAACTCTTAATTCAAGAGAAATTTAAATGATTGGAGGTAGCTTCTTTGATCAGCTTCTTTCAATTCTTTATGACTCAAAGACATCTGGAGTAAGGGAGGATAAAAGGAAATGGCTCTTCGAGAAATCGGGTACTTTTTCTGTGAAATCCTTCTTTAACAGCTTGACAAGGGAGGAGTCTTCTTCTTTCCAAGTGACAAGATTTGGATCAGGTCTGTTCCGTCCATCTAAACTGGCTTTCTTTGTCTGGTCGGCACTGCTGGATAAGACCCTGACTAAAGAAAATTTAGTCAGAAGAGGTTTAGAGGTGGAGGATATAGCTTGTTCACTATTGCTGTGTTTAGTTTGAAGGAAAAGGTAGGGAAAGATGGGAAAATCTGTGCAAGGTTTGTACAGGTTTCTCTACCTTCCCTTTCCTTTCCCTAATGTTTCCTTCAAACCAAACGCAGCCTATGTGATGGAATGTGGAGCCTTCTAGCCATTTGTTGTTACACTGTGATTTTTCTTACTAGATTTGGATGAGTCTATTGTAACTGTTTGGTGTAAAGATGTGCTTCTTGGCTGATGTGAAGGGATTTATAGGGGCATGGGTTGTAGGAGGCTTAACTAGGGCTGGAAAGGTAGCTTGGAGCATCCTCCCTGCAGCAGTTTTTTTGGGCAGTGTGGAGTGAAAGAAATAGTAGATTATTCGACGGAAAACAATCCTCAAAAGAAGTACCCAATAAGGATTTTGGGGATGGTGCATTCTTGGTTGGAAATCTATCCATTATTCAAAAATAGACACACTTCTTCCTTTTTTGATTCTGATTTCCTTTTTGTAAGGAGTTTATAGTTTTTTTTTTCTTCCAAGGGGTTGTTGTATTGGACATACTGTTTCTCTTTGTACAGTTTCTCATTGTACAAGGGCTATATTGTATTTCGGCTCTTTGATCTTAGTGAAATACTTTACCTTACAGCTAAAAAAACGATTGATCCCTTCCAAGGCTTCACCACTAATAAGGATGTCGACACTATGCACCAAAAGAAGAGCCAAGCCCTAAGGATGCTTGAGAGTGAAGAGGGAATAATTTGATGAATTTTGTTGAAACCCAACCTCTATCACAACTCCACATAATCTCTCAAACCAAGCTCGTGGAGCTTGTTTGAGTCCATGTAACAACTTCTTAAGTTTGCAGCCTAACTTTGGATCATCAAAATATCATGGATGTGGCTTCATGTACACTGTCTCATGGAAATGCCCATGAAGAAAGACATTCTTTACACCCATCTGGTGAATAATCCACTACATAACAGCAACGATGGCAAGAATAAGTTTGACAGTATCATTTTGGCAACTGGGGAAAAAGTCTCCTCATAGTTAAATGCCATGTTTTTGTTTATACACGAGCAACAAGTCATGCTTTATATCTATCCAAAGTGCTATCGGTGTTCAGCTTGACAGAGTAAACCCAACGACTACCAATGATGAAAGCATCTGGTGGAGGAGGCACAAGTTCTCAAGTATCATTCTTTAGTAGAGCCTAAATCTCAGAATTCATGGCATCTTCCCAATGCTCAAGCAGCTCAACTTCTATAGCCTATTGGTAAGATTTTGGGATATCTGTGGAAGACGATACAATATAAAAGTATTGATAAAAAAAGCACTACAATAGAAAAGTGCTATGGGTTGCAAAAAATCCATAGTAGTCAAGAGGACAAGAAACTCTAGAAGAACAACATAAAGGAGTAGGAATAGGTGGTGAATGGTCACTTACATAAGGTGTGGATGTTGGACGAATAGATCCTAAGGATGACGGAGGAGGAGGCATAGGCACTGGAACAGTTGGATACTTCTTGAATATGCAACAGTGGAGACTTAGAATCATATGAAGAGTCAAAGTAATGCAAAACAGAAAAAAATGGTGTAGGTAATTTAACAATATGTTCAAAGAAAGACAAGTTCTCAAAGAAGATAAAATTTCAAGATGTGCAAAGACGGTGAACTTTAGGATCACAACAGAGAAAACCCGTAGATTCTTAACTGTACCCCATGAAAGCACACATAGCTGATTGAGTAATTAGCTTGGTGCACTCATGAGGAGGGGTATGCACAAAGTAGACACAACCAAGAACATGAAGCATAGAATAGTTGGGGTGTATGATGAAAGAGAGAATAAAAAAGAGAATGGTTACTGAGAACTGAAGATGGAGTGATGTTGATAAGATACATAGTGGTTCTGGCCGCCTCCACCCAAAAGGTAATAGGTACATGATAAGTCAAGCAAAAGGGATCTCACTACACTCAAAATGTGTCTGTTCTTGCACTTAGCAACTCCATTTTTTGGAAGAGTTCTTGGGAAAGATCTTTGGGACAGAATACCGTGCTGCTTCAGATAAGTCCGGAATTCCCTGTTTTCCGTATCAAAATATTTTCCCCTGAATTTGAACATAAGATGTGCATGGTGGCATTGTGTTGGGTCATTACCATAATGTGAAAGTTTTGGAAGGTGGAAAAAGGAAATGATTACAAGGGCTGATAATACATCACCCAAACCCATAAATCTACCTAACAACCCATATATTTTTTCTTTATTTATCTTCAAAAAAAAGTTCTGGAAGGTGGAAAGAACTTTTGATTTCTTGTACAGAAAGTAAACCCAAGTATATCTAGTGCAATCATCAATAAATTATACAAAATATCTGTAACCAAGTCTAGAAATAATAGGAGACGACCAAACATCAATATGTATGTATTAATTGGAAAGGAAAGTAGCATGCTTAGAAGAAGTGGGAAAGGAAAAATGACTTTAATGAGACCCAAATTTATGCAAAATAATATTCTTAGAAATTGAAGTAACAAATGGCAAACAACTAGTAGCAATCCTTCTTCTTTGATAAGCAACAGATAAATTTCATTAAAGAGAAACCACTGCAGAAAACGGTGGAATTAAGAACAGTACAAAAGTAAAAAAACAAATCCAAACCAGCTCCAAAACAACATGATCTATTTTTTTTATCAGTATTCATTTTTTTTTTATCAGTAAAAAAAAAACATGATCTATAATAACCACACGCACACAAACATAAACAGAAAACCACAAAAAATAGATACAGATGTTACAAGCTTGCCCCTGGTCCTGGACAACTCCAATCCAATTTACTCTTCTGTACCCAGCCTTTGCTAAGGAATCAGCCAGGCCATTTGCACTTCTAGGTACCCATTTGAATGAGCTATTTGATAAGGATGCCAAGTATTGTGCTTGCCTTACCAAAGGTCTAACTTTCCAGGGAACCAGATCCTGCTTCTTCAGCCATGTTAATTCTAGGTGTGAAAGTGAGAGAACAAGAGAGAGACTTGATTTGAGGGGTGTGTTTAATAAGTCACACGCCTAAACAGAAAGAATGTATATTATTGTGTAAGTGGACAATTCTGTCCTTACAAGAATAAAAGAAATAAAAGTGTATAATAGTATACAAGAATGAAAGAAAAATAAAATTACAATATTAACCCCCATCTTCTATACATAGAGATAGCTGAATCAAGTTTTGGGGAGATGATTGGTTAGGAATCGGAAAGCTATGTGATATTTGCCCTTGATTGTATAGACTGAGAAAGAAGAACAGCTCGATTTCAAAAAAATTTGAAATTGATTGAGGTAGAGCAAGCTGGTACTCAAAATTTAGAAGAGCTCTGTTTGATTGGGAGATTTGGGAATGTGTGGGTTTGCTCTCAAAATTACAGCTAGCTGAAATCCAGGTGGATAGGAAAGATTCAATTTGGTGAAAAGAGTCTAGAAATGGAGTTTTCTCTGTTTTAAATCCTTTTACAAGGCTCTGCTAAGGATGGAATCAGAAAGTTCTGAGTTAAAAGGGGTTTGGGAAACCCCACTCCTCCAAGGTTAGAAGCTTGTGCTTGGCTGGTGGTGTTGGATAGCATTCTGACTTTGGACCATATTTAGAATCAAGGAGTTCACTTTAGCTGGAAGATGCTATTTGTGTGAGAATGCAGAGGAGAATGTTCTTCACCTGTTTGTTGGCTGCCCATGTTCAAGATTTGTTTGCAGTTTCTTCTTTGGGCTTTTCAAGACTAGATGGGTGGAACCAAGCACTTCAGGAGACATCTTTGCTTGTTGGCCATCTATGAGAGGAAATGCCAAGGCAAAAATTGTGTGAAGCTGCATCCCTTTTGCTACTTGCTGGGAAGTGTGGAAGGAAAGAAATAGAAGAGTATTTGAGAACAAAGCTAGCTCAAGAGATAAAGTTAACACTCATTTGATTCATCAAAAAAAGTTAACACTCATTTGTGGCAAAAGGATTATGGATTGGGTTCTCATCCTTCACGAATTTGAAGGAGTCTCTAAGGAAGACCTTGGCATTGGTTTTTGGAGTCTTCTTGAATTAAGCTAGTTTCCCTCTTGTTTCTTTTCTAAAAGATCTGTTTCAGTTTTTTGTTTTGCTATGTATGTTCTCTTTTGGTTATCTCTCATCATCCTCTTGATGTACTTTTGTTTATTTTATCAATAAATTTTCTTTTTTTTATCATAAAAAAAAATCATATGGACTTTATTACATTTGGATTTGATGTTTAGTGATGGATTGTTGTTATTATTTTTTCAGCACTTTGGTCATTGAGCTTTTAAATTTCTGAACTTTTTTATTTTTCATGGAAGCCATGATCAATCAGACAAGAGAGCAGACCAAGTACTGCTTGGGATTGCCTTCTCAAATCTCAAAGAAAGGGAGCCATAATGATGATGAGGCAACACTTGAGAAGATGAGAAAGGAGATTGAGGCAAACCAGGAGAATGCTTTGAGCCTATGCACTGAGAAGGTCTTGCTAGCACAGCAAGCTTATGATCTTGTGAGCTGCATTTCTTTCTTCCTTTTCTTGGTGCTTGCTTTATTAATAGTTTAACTGAAATGCATGGGTTTCGTTCTTATATTTATTTATCATTTTGCTTTCTTGGTATACTTTGATTGCTACAGAAACTGATAGTTGTTAGATTATCCAATTGCAACTATTTGATTCTAATGTTCTTATCTGGCATGGGTATAATTTTAGGCAGTTATTATTGCCCTGTAAATTGGGTTGTTCTGACAATGTGATTTTTAAGCCCCAGAACTTTCTGATAAATATTTTTTCCCAGTTTGTTGACTAGAGAAAAAAATAATTGCCAATTAATGATGCATAGATCAGAATGTGTATTAGGAGCTGAAACATTGACAACTAAGTAAAATCTATAGCTATATTAAAGTGTGAATCTGCCTTTGAATTTCTGGACTCCGCCCCCCCCCCCCCCCAACCAAAAGGCCCCTATTTGTTTATTTGTCCCCATTTTACTGTCAAGGAAAAATTGTAAGGATGCATCTGGTTTAATCATGTACTTATTATGTATTTCATTTTTCTTATTGTTTTGGTGACTAAACTACCCAATTTAGTATTCTATTCTCATTGTATGGTGAGGGAAATTTCTTAATTGGCCTGGTTGCTTTGAAGGAAACTGTTCTTTCTTGATATCTCCAGTGGTTGCATTTTCATTTTCGCTCAAGATGACTAAATATTTAGTTCTTCAAATCATATTTTTGTAGTAACTTACCAAACAGGTCGCATGCCCTATTGGCCTCTGTAACTTCTATTTATAGCAGCGATTCAAGTAGTACTAGACCACTGAAATTCAAGGCTAGAAGAAGAATATTGATAGGTCCACCAGTGGTGTGGTTGAGAATGGTTTTGTGAGTTTTCTATATAGCCTAGCATTTTTTTTTCTTTTTAAGAAACTGGAGCAAATACATGGGTTGATGTAAATTTTTTATACTTTTTAATAGGATTTTTTTTTGGGCTCTGACAATGCCTGAACTTTGTAAAAAGGCCACTTTACACCCTAAAGTTTAAAATGGGCCATTTTCGCCCTCAAACTTTTATGGAAAAGCCACGCTAAGACAAAATGGATGACGTTAGAGACATTATCGACGGTTCCATTAGACAATGAATAAAATAATAAAGGATGTTTATATGGCACTGCTCAAGTCAAATAATTTGGGAAATTACAGGCTCCTTGAGACCCTAAAGTTTGAAAAGGCCACTTTAGATGTTAAAAACTCTATTAGTTAAAAATCAGTTTTATTAATTTATCATGATTGAAATAATCCTTGAAATAACAATAATGAATTTAGAGTCATTAAGTTAACAATAATTAATTTAACAGCAAACTATTAAGAATACTGATAAAGGGGTCTATGATGGCATAACAGTAAATAATTAGAATCATTAAATAAACAATAATTAAGAGTAAATCATTACTTAAATACTAACTTAATTAGCCTAACTAATAGTAAATTGACAATCACTTCATTTACTTAATTAACTTAGCAAGTCAATTTGCTTAATCAAAGTAATTTAATTAATTTCTTTAATTTTTTTATTTACTTCACTAGAAAATAAAGAAATAAGAAAGAGCTCAAAGATTCAAGAAAGAAGAGAGAAAAAGGGTTTCTTGAGAGTGAGGACAAGAAGATCAGAGAATAGATAAGAGAAGGCCAAAAAACTAATCAGGCCACCACTCTGATAGGCCCAGACCCAATACAATTGGGTGGTCCACATATGTGGTCCTGGTTCAGCCTTATAATCAGACATATAGGCAGGGACCACACATAAGGTCAACGTTGTTTAAATTAGTGTTCTAATTGTAGTATGAATATAATAGGTGAATCCAATTAGAAGTCAGATTAGTCAGTTTTGACTATAGTAGGAAAGCAGAATTTGAGTAGGAGTTTGTAACAGAATAATTATAAATAGATGGTCAATGAATGGGAAAGGCAAGCAATTACCAATCAATCTTTTTCTCAGTCGTTCTCCTCTTTGTTAATTTCTTTAGGAGGTTTGAATTCCCTTGGAGAAGCTCCTGTGATAGGCAGAACCTATGAATTGGTATCAAAGCGTGAATGATAAACCAATGTTTTAAAAACTGACCCGGAGGCCGAACTGCTTTTGCCTCCAGGTTGCGGGACATCGATTTTACTGTCTGGGTTGAATGGGTCAGACGTGCCATGTCATATATATATATATATATATATATATACTCAAAGTTGTTGAAAACCCCCGGCCATTTTGCATTTTGTGGTTCAACAAAGGAAATGAGGTAGAGGTTTCTTATAAATCTCTAGTTAATTTTTATATTTATAACACATTTGAAGAATTGGTTTGGTGTGATGGGGACAATAACACATACAATTTTGTGAAAGATAATAAGAAAATAACTCTTAAACCAATGCATCTTAATTCATTTCCAAAGAAGGAAGCTAAGCCAATCACTACCCTCTTCACCTCAACTAAATTGGCTGGAGGACGGGAGGAGATGGGTATTTGGGTGTTGTTTATGTGTTGGTTACAAAAGAAGTCAGCAAAGAAACACCTGTTCTGGAGAAGGTAAAGAAGATACCTCATGAGTATTCTGATGTGATGCCTGAGGAATAACCTGATGGCCTTCCTCCCCTAAGGGATGTACAACATCATATAGATTTAATGCCAAGAGTAGCATTACCTAACCTCCTAACCTACTCCACTATAAAAAGAGTCCTAAGGAGCACGGGGAGCTCCAAAAACAAGCAAGAGTTATTGAAGAAAGGGTTGATCCGTGAAAGCTTAAACTTATGTGTTGTACCAGCTTTGCTCACACCAAAGAAAGATAGTAGTTGGCATACATGTGTTGACAGCTGTTAAGAAGAATACAATTAAATATAGGTTTCCATACATTGCCTTGATGACATGTTGGACACATTGGCTGGTTCACAAGTCTTTTCAAATTCGTATCCGAGAGGGGAATGAGTGGAAGGCTGCATTCAAGACTAAGGAAGGTCTTTATGAATGCCTGGTTATGCCATTTGGATTGTATAATGCCCCTAATACCTTTATGAGGTTCATGAGACAAGTCCTAAGATTTATGGGAAAGTTCGCGGTGGTTTACTTTGATGACATACTCATCCTTCACAAAGATTTGACATGTGCAAGGCTGCTAAAATTGCTGCTCTCATAGGGTCGATCTCTTTCTAACCCAGTGGGAATGATAAGCCAAAAAAAGAGGGGGAAGAAGAATGAAAAAAGAAACAAAAGGAGAGAGAGAGAGAGAGAGAGAGAGAGAGAGAGAGATGTGAATACATTCTGAATTTGTATGTTTTTTTTTTTGTAGTAGGATCCCAAATTGTTGTCTTTAGGCAACTTTGTTGACAGTTTGGGTCCAGGGGTATTTTCGTCATTTTTGTAATTTGGATTCTGGTCAGAGGCAGCTGGATGCACAGCTATTAGTTTTTGGTCTCTTTGGTGTTTTATCTTTTAGGGGTTTGTTTGAAGTTAGTTTTGTTCTTGAGTTGTTTGTGAAGGGAGAACATTCTAGGGGCATATGTGTAAATATTTTAGTTGGCTTCTCCAGTAAGCCTTGAGTTTTATAAAAGAGAAGGGGGTTGTTTCTATGGAGGTCTCTTTGGTTCCTTATCTCTTGTTTGAACTGTAGCTCAACCCCAGCTAGGGTTTTCAAGACTTGGGAGTTTGGGTTTTGAGGAGCCGATCCATTTTGGCACCTTCCAATCCCTCTATAGCTGTGTGTCCATGCGAGAGGCTAGCTTAACACCATTGTTACTGTAATGGAACTGTTCCAAGAGGAATTTTACTTCAGGTTCAGGTCTAAAATCCCTAAGAATCCAACTTGTTTGGTTGTTTCCATCTTGGTATTTTTGTGCTTATTGTTGTACACTTGAAGTGCTGCATATAACTTGTTTTTCTGTCCACATAAATGAGTGTGGTAGAAATGCAAATGCTAAGATGGATGAGTGGATAAACCAAAAAGGATAGGATTAGGAATGAAATTATCTGTAGGAACCTACGAGTGGCTCCAATTAGTCACATGCATAGAAGACTACCAACAACTCCAATTAGAAGAAGTGATTTGTTACAAGTTGAAGGGGCTAGAAGAGCTAGGGTAGACCAAAAAGGACATGGGCAGAAGTAGTAAGGAATGATTGAGGCACTAGTAATTTAACAGTGGATATGACTTTAAATAGAATGGATTGGTGAAACAGGATACATGTAGCTGGCCCTATATAGTTGGGATAAGGCATGGATGATGATGATGGCTGACAATTCGCTCTAGGTACTTGTTTTTTTCATTAAAGTTGGACATAACAAATTAGGGTTATGCTGAAAAAATGGCATGAAAGCAGAGTGCTAAATATGTGAATGGCAGTCCAGGGTGAATGCAACCTTTCTAGCTCTTATACCAAAGAAAACTGATGCTAGTTACCCTAAGGACTTTAGACCGATCAGCTTAGTAACCAGCATTTACAAAATCTTAGCCAAGGTCTTTTTGTTGAGACTAAAACTAGTTCTCCCAGTTGTAATCACTCAAAATCAAGGGGCTTTCATTCAAGGGAGGCAAATAGCTGATCAGATTCTAGTTGCTAATGAATGTGTAGAGGATCCGAAAAGATCAAGAAGGAAAGGTTTTGTGTGCAAGTTGGACCTAGAGAAAGCTTATGATTTGGTGGATTGGACATTCTTGATTGATGTGATGAGATATTGTGGTTTTGGGCAAGATGGTGCAAATGGATCTATGGTTGTGTTAAGTCTTGCAGTTTGTTAGAGACTTCTTTCTTGCTCATCGGGGTTTGAGGCAAGGTCCTCTCTCACCCTTTCTCTTCACCCTAATAGCAGATGTGTTAAGTAGAATGATCTTAAAGGCCGATAGAGAGACTATAATAAAAGGATGGAAGACCGGAAGAAATAGGATCCCAATTACTCATCTACAGTTGGCTTAGGATATTATAATCTTCTATGAGGGTGGAGAGCAAAATTTGGTGAGGAATCTGAAAAAGTTGGTCAAGAAGTTTGAGTTTATCTCTAATCTGAAAGTCAACCTTGATAAGAGTTGCATAACAGGAATAAACTTGGAGGTAGAGGAACTGAACTTTGCTGCAGATACTTTAGAGTGTCCTATTGCTAGTTGGCCTCTGACCTATCTAGGACTTCCTCTAGGTGCAACCTAAGGAGAGTAGATTCTGGAACCCCATAGTGGAGAGATGTACAAAGAAACTGGCAACTTGGAAGAGGAGTTATGTATCTTTGAGGGGAAGGATTACCTTGATTAAATCCACACTTGCTAACCTACCAATCTATTTCCTATAAGTTTTTAGAATCCCCTAAAAAGAAGCCAAAAAAACTGAAAAGATTATGAGGGACTTTTTGTGGGAGCCGGGTGATGGAAGGAAGGATCATCTAGTTAAATGGGAGGTTGTGTGTAGGAATCTTAAACAATGAGGTCTAGGGATTGGTAGTGTGGATAAAAAGAATAGGACTCTGCTAGGGAAATGGCTTTGTAGGTGGCCGATGGAAAGGGATAGACTATGGCATGAAGTAATAGCTAGCATACATGGAAGGTTGGGACACAGGTGTATCTACCAGAGCTACCTTGGCCTCACCTTGGAAAGCGGTTCATAGCATTCTGCCTTACTTTCTCCATTTTGTTAGGTATGCTGTTTGCTCTAGGGCTTCTGTTAAATTTTGGGATGAAACTTGGGTTGGTTCTTGTCCTTCAAAGGAGCTTTCCCCCTCCTTATACTCAGTTTCTTTGTACAAAAATGAGTGTGCCAAGATTTGTTATTCCTCCAATACATCCAGTGGACCTTAGTTGGGACTTTGGGTTCCATAGAGGTCTTAGGGATAATGAACTCTTGGCTTGTGTGTATCTTTTACAACTCCTTCAGGAGGTTTGCTTGGACCTTGATAAATCTGAAAAACATATTTGGGCCCCCAACCCCAAGGGTTTGTTTTCTTGTGCTTCTTTGTTCAAGACCTTTTGTGATTCCTCAGCTTCTTCCTTTCCCTTTAAAGAGTTTTGGTGCAGACCCATTCCACCCAAAGTAAGAGCTTTCTGCTGGGAAGTAGTTCATGGGAAGATAAATACTATGGGCTTGCTAGTTGCTACAAAAGAGAAGACCTAATTCCTGTCTCTTCCCTAACTGGTGCATCTTATGCAAATCCAGTAATGAAGTTGTCTTTATTTACTTATTTCCTGCCCTTTTGTTGCAGATATTTGGCTTTGCTTTTTTTCTTTGTTTGGGTGCAAGTGGACTTTACCAACTGAGGTTAATATGTTATTTGATCCCTTCATATTTACTTGGCCAAAGAAAAGAGGGAGGATAATGTGGAGATGTGTCAGAGCAGCCTTGATTTGGATTTGGACCATCTAGCAGGAGAGGAATGCAATAATATTCTTAGAAAAGGAGAAAAGCAAGGAAGAAATCAGGATTTGTGTGATGGTTAGGTGATCCACTGGATCACAACTCTAGAGTTGCTTTCCAGTTTTCCTTTGATGATATTTGGAGGAATTGGGAAGCAGTTGCTAAAAGTTCTAAGAGAAAGGACAGAATGGAGGTTGTTTGGGGTCCACCAACTGAAGGTTTTGTTAAACTGAACTTTGATGAGAGCAGCAGCCAAGGTAATCCAGGCCCTTCTGGAATAGGAGGGGTTTTGAGAGATGGAGAAGGTAAATCTATAGCACTTTTTTTTGGCCCTGCAGGTATGGGTGACTCACTCAAAGCGATACTGCTAACTGCAATCCAAGGGATGCAGATAGCTAGTGAGATAAATTTGACAAATATGGTGACTGAAGGGGATTCAGAAGTGGTGATAGAATAGCTAAAACACCCAGAGTCTATAATTTAGTGCTACTGGACTGAAATGAAAAAATTTACATGGTTAACCAGGAATATGAATTTGAGGATACAATGGGTGAGGAGATCGGCAAATGGGATGGCAGATGCTTTGGCTAAGCAAGGAGTGGAGAGGTCTATTTTGTTCAGGGCACATTTGTAATGTGATTTCTTTTATGTATGAGAGGTAGTGGCGCGTGCCTCTCTTAGGGATGCTTGTAAAGATATGATATAAAGCTTTTTAATAAAAATAATCATTTATCATAAAAAAAGTCACAAGTAATTTAGAAGGGTTTTTATGGTTATGAATGTACAATGAACAACCTATCTTAGAAAAGAATGGCAATCAACAGAACTGTTTATTTTTACTGTTAAGAAATGTTTATTTATTTAGTTGATGGATGCCAAAGTAAAAGAACATTAAGCAAGACATTCAACTCCTTAATTTCATTAGCAATGGATGAAATGGCAGAATATGTTTGAGCAATGCTTAGCTTTGATTTCATTGAATGCTCCTGTGAAATGCTTTCAAGCTTCTTTGTGTTCACTGAAAATTTTGGCAAAATACCTATGGTCATTTATAGGATTAATGTTTTACTGGAATTTGGATTCTATTCTTACATTTTTATGCCTCGCAGATAGATAGCCATGTAAAACGGCTTGATGAAGATCTCAACAACTTTGCAGAAGATTTAAAGCAAGGTATTATAACATGATAATATTTTTTATAGGAATCAAAGCCTTCATTGAGAAGAAAAGTACAGTATACTCTTATGTATATACAGGGAGTAAACCCACATGTAAAAAGGATGACAAAACAAAAAGAAATCTTTATAAAATCTTAATCCACTTAGGGCCTGTTCGTTTCCTCTCAACTCTTAAGAGGAATCTTTTAACTTTAAGAGAAAAATGGTTGTTCGTTTTATCTCTTAAAGTGCAATCATACAACTTTTTGTTTTCCAATGATACCCCCAAAAAGACAAACAAAAACTCTCATATATGGGGTCAAAATGGATATTTGATAATTTTCAGAATTCAGAATTGAGAACAACATTCTCTACATTCAGAGTTCAGAGAAAAGAAAAGTTTACTAATACCAATATACCTCAATGTAATTATTGCACTTTTAATGTCAGACTTCAGAGCAAACGAACAGGCCCTTAGCCTTGTCCCAACCATATGGGGCCAAACTACATGAATATTGTTCTACCATTCCAGTGTGTTTACTGCCATATCCACTGTTGAATTATGGACCCTCGAGTCATTTCACACCACTTCATTCCACATCCTTTTTGGTTTGCTTTAGCTCTTTCAGAACCATAAACTTGTAATAGATCTCTTCTTCTCACTGGTACTGTAGTTGATCTTCTCTGCACCTGACCAAACCATTTTAGTCTATTTTTCCTCATTTTATTATTTGTTGGAGCTACTCTTATGTTTCTACAATTAAATCCACTTATAATACTACTTTCTAGTTTTCTCACTCATCAATCTCAATATTCATACTTCTACTACACTCATTTTTTGGACATGTGAAAACTCTACTCCATAAGGCATTGCTGGCCTTGTAATTATTTTACAATTTTAATCACAAGGAGCTTCCTCACAACCATGAAACACCCAAACAAAAGTAAGTTCTTGAGGATTAGAATATAGTCTAAAAATCAATTTGGTGATTGAGGGGGGAAAACCATGTTGATGCCTGCACATAGCTGGTCTTATGTTTGCTATTTGCTAATGTAGTTACAACAGTAAGTGATGCAGGTGTTTTGGATGTTATGTGAAGAAAAGGGCAAAACGAGTTTCACCAAATATTCTTCTTTGTACCTAATAAAACTGACTTTTTTTTACTCATTGGTGTATTCACTGTATTGTATATGCATTGCAAATTGAAATATAGTGACCTAGATCTAAAGCATTGATCAAAATAAAAAAGGAATAACTATATATGGACATAAAATGTATGCTATTATTGTATCTTCGACTCTGTCTAATATCCTTATGACCTGCAAAACATTGTTGGTAAGTGCAAAAGCTACATGAATTATTATTGTTGCTACAAAGAAAAGAAAAATAAAGGTGCCTCATTTGAAGACCATAAAAAGTTTCTAGTTATTGGTTTTTAATAAAGAGATTGCATTACATTGCAAACTGCTGCAATTGTTTATTGATGGTAATTATGAACTATAATCATGGTTTTTAGAACCAAACCGGTAAGGGGTCCGGTTACTGCTTCGAACGGTCCAACTGTTCGACCTGAACGATCGGCCCGTTTTGAAAAAAAACTTGAAAAATTTGAAAAATGGTCAAAACCGTTCAAACGGTTCGAACGGTTAACCGGCCGGTTCAGCGGTTTGCTGACCAAAATCAATGGTTTGGGGGAAAAAAGCGGTTTTGGGGGAAAACGGAACCAGTCAGGTGACCGGTTCACGGTTTTTCCGGTCCGGTTCGGTTTTGAAAACCATGACTATAATTAACAAATACGGACACTAATGTATGCAAAAAAATGTATTTTTTTCATATGACATTTGGGCATGCAAGGTGAAACTTATTGATAAAAATGCAGATGAATTGAAATTTGAAATGATTTTTCTTGTTGCAAAATATTAATAGGTGTTTTTTAATCTTTAAATTAAAGCCAAGATGACTTATGCATGATTTTGGTTTTTATTTACTTCTATTTGGTTTTATTAGAGGGTAAAATACCACCAGATGAGCCAGCAATCCTTCCTCCTGTTCCTATAGTGCCAAAAGATGAGAAACGCAAATCCTTCTTTGGAACACCTCAATCCAAGAGGCTAGATTTCAGGGAACGTGATTGGGACCGAGAACGTGATAAGGATTTTGAACTAATGCCTCCTCCAGGAAGCCATAAAAAAAGCATTCCTGCTCCTGTTGATGTTGATCAACCCATTGATCCAAATGAACCCACCTACTGCATCTGTCATCAGGTTATTACACTGATATTTCATTTTCAACCTTTTTATTACCTTAAGTTCATTTGTTGCATGTGTAACTGAGTATCTTTTAAGTTACCCTTCAGATGTTCTTATGCCTAATAGTTATTTGTTTTTGTACAACTTCCAGGTGTCTTTTGGAGACATGATTGCTTGTGATAATGAGAATGTGAGTCCCTTTTGCTACCCTTTGTTTCTGTTTTTTATCCTTGTTTTAGTCCATGCAGTCTACACATAGGTCCTTGTGAAATGTAATTTCTAGATGCAAAGAGAGGGTCATAGGTAGGACAACCTTTGAAAACTGAAAACTCAACCAAGAAATTATTGGTAGGGTAGAAAAATATTACGAGTATGATAAAAAGTATATTTTCATAAAACTGTAAATTTGAAATCTGGTATCAAGCACAAAGTATTTTGCCATTTGGTTAAAAATTGAAAAGAAGGAATGCTAGAGGCCTAGGGCAATATTTATTTATTGCACTTTTGGGCATGGAGGAATGTTGTGTTGTGAATAAAATTTATTACTCATGTGGGATCAACAAAAATATTCCTGTAGTATTTAGGCAGGAATAACAGCAATTTGCCTTAAGTGCTCCTAGTCCTAGCATCTCCATGCAGTGAAGGGGTTGATACTGAATATCCCTTTTATTAGGTTCTTGATTAGCCAAATGTGAAACTTCCTTGCCTGTGGTAGCTCCGTGCTTCAACAGTTAAATTCACTATTCCATATTCCATTCAGGATTAGTCTTCAAATTGTCAGAAGTTCTTAAGTAAACTAGGTAGGAATAGGACCTCTACATGCTCAAGGGAACTTTTGGCTGAAACCACATTGAGAGAGGGTATCTTGTGATACATGGACCTCAGCTGCAAAATATGTATAAAGGAGACAACAAAAAAATAAATGGCTAGAAATTAGGATGTTTCATCTTCTGACATAAATACTCTAAACCGAGAAACATTGTCATGGATAAATATTCTCTTGGCTTACACAGCCTTGAGAAACTGATATCTCAACCTTATGCTGTTTATTGAATAATCCTTTTTCGGTAATCCAGTTAACTTGATTATTGCAGTAGAGGGAAAAAGTGGATAGCCTTATGCTGGTAGATTGTGATGTTCTATAAAATCGTCCAGGGGTAAGAGTGTAGAATAAAGCTACAGAAATGTCACAAGAAAACGCAACTAAGAAAAATAAATTAACTTCTCATAGTAAAAGATCCGTCCTACGAGTCCAGTGCATTGAGGACCCAGCATTTTACAAAGTTTCTTATTGCAATTTTCTTACATAAATAATTATCAACACGCCCCAGGTAGGCAGACAACGTCAGCTTTTGTTGCTTGATTATACATTTCTAGTCTCTTGTTTGGATAAATTAATGAATTATGAAAATTGATATTTTCTTTGACAGTGTCAAGGAGGTGAATGGTTCCATTATGCTTGTGTCGGCCTCACACCAGAGACAAGATTCAAAGGAAAGTGGTATTGCCCCACCTGCAGATTATTACCACCTTGAATATATGTATATTTATGTTCTTTGATTTAATTGGCAGCAAGAGGGCCATGAGTCAATTTTTTCTGTAGTTGTGGAGGCATGTAAAGTATAAATTACACCTCGGTTGCTGTGTTTGATCACTTTGATGTATATTGGTGATGCTGTTTCTTTAATCCTCCTACTTGGGAACAAAACCAAGCAAGAGTTATTCGACTGTATAATATATTGTTTTCCTTGATTAATTATATTATGGCCTTTCATTTGCTGGAAAATTATTGTCTTGGAAAACCAAGTTACAGCCGTGAAACTACATAACGCTATGCACCACTAATGTGGGTCCTTGATTTGTTTAAAGGGAAAAGCGAAAAGTATGGCTAGGGTAACTTTTAAGAGTTGTTTTCACTTTTAAAGACCATCAATTTATTTATAATTATATTTTGTAATTTAAGAATATAATTATATATTTACATGTACATATTTTCAATAAGTTGAAAATTTGTAGACACACGGAAAAGGAATTTCCTTTGGTAAAAAAAAAAGGGAAAGAGCTTTACTTTACCAAAAGACCTAGGCCAAAAATTATCATGTGGGATTGGAGTTTGTCCCTTGAACATTCTAGTCTACCTACTTGCATTTCTTAATTTTTAGTGGCATGTTGTATCAAAATTTCAATGTATCACGTTAGAGACTGTTTACACAATGTATTTTTCATTGGTTCATGTTTCACAAAGTGTATTTACCATTAAATATTTTAACAACGTTGAAGATGTCACCATGGGTCCATCCATGTTTTAATTATTTTAATTATGTTTCAACAATTTCCATAGAATGCAGTTACAATAGATTTTGCTTAAATGTTTAAATGGGTAAATTGCATATTATCACCCTATACTTTGGGTTGGTGACACTTGGCCCCCAAACTTTCATTTGTGACAACGACCTTCTTAAACTTTTAGATTCCAACACTTTACCCCTCTCCTTTAACTAAGTTGACAAAAATGGATAGGATAAAGCACATTATCACTTTTTTGCCCACTTTGAATGAGAAGAAAAAAAGAAACATAAATAGAGGGTTTATACTTTATACAAATATGTTAGAAAATAGAAAAAAATGTTTCCATAATTAAGAATAGAGTAGTTTGTAGTTTTAAAAATGTTTAACAAATACAAGAATAGAGTAGGTTGAAGTTTACTAACGGATTATTAGGGGGCAAATTGTTGGAATCTGAAAGTTCATAGGAAGTTTAGGGTCGTAATATGTAATTTATCGTATACAAATAGGAAATGCATGGCTAAACTGGGCTGGACAAATGCATTGGCCAGAAAAAAAAAATTGCCCAACATAATTAATTAAAGAATACCAACCTATATGCCAACTGAGTAGTGGCTCGGTTGGCATGTTAGTTGGATAGTCGAGTCCCACCATTTCCACCTACCGACCTATATTCGAAAAGTTAGTGTATTGTGTTAAATACCGAAAAAAAAATACCAACCTATATGAAGTAAGGCTAAGGCCTTCCCAAAACTAGAGTGGGGTTTGGGGTGGGGATGAAAATTCAGAATGAAAGGAAATATTTATCCAGGGGCCGTTTGGTAAGTCTTTTTTGAAAGATCATCTAGAAGTTCTGACAATCAAAAGACGATGTGAGCTTTTGCATCAAGATCTTAACAGCTTAAAGACCGTTTGGTTAAGGTGAGTTTGTCCATACATCTTTCTACAGGAAGATGAGTTGAAAAAAAGGCAAAAAACTCCATTTGGAGCTTTTTGAAAATAGCCTGAAATAAGCTTCCCGCATCTTTTTGGGGCTGCAGCTTTCGGTGGCTAGATCTTTTCCCAACAAAACGGGAAAAGACCAAAATGGAGGCTGCCAGCCTTCTAAAAAGTCGACATCCCGCATGAAAAGACCTGCCAAACAAGGCCTCAGTTTACCATTTACACTCGTTTGGTAAATAGTGATCATGGGCTAGGCCAGCTTGGGTTCTGGCCTAAAAATAAGCCTGGGCTTGATTTTTGGTCTATCTTTTATGTACAAAATACTACATAAATAATGTTTTACATTAAATGGAACATAATATATATAAATTTATTTTATAAATTATATAGTATAAATATTATATAATAAGTGTTATATTATAATATTTATAAATAATATATAATATAACATAAAATAACAAATACATGTATATATTATGTATAAAATATAGATATTTAAAAATATGTGGATCAAAATTTCTGGGCTAGGCCAGACAAAATAGGATTTGGTCCTTAGAAGATCGTGTTCACAGTCTCACACCATTCGCACACCACTCATGCCATTTGAGGGGAGGAAAAGTTTGAACTTATGCCTAGATGCCACATCATTTTTGCCCCATTTTGCATCACAAATTTACATATCAAAATTTTCTACCTTTTTGTGGGGTAAAAGTAGGGCACATATTTACTTGTCCATAATAAATCTAAGGCCATGTTTGGGAGTGTTTAAAAACAAGTGCTTATTCGAATAAGCACTTATTTGCATTGGCACCCAGCTTTTTCAAGTACTTATTTTTTAAAATAACCACTTATTTTAAATTGGGCGTTTGGTAGTTTTTTCTCTAATAAGCACTTAAATAAGCATTTGTGACTATTTTGTCCTTCATTTTCTTTCAAATTTTCAAAATATACCCTTTGAAAGCAATTTTATTAAATTACTTTATAAAAACACTTTTATGAAAGTACTTTTATAAAGTGATTTCAGAAAAGTACTTTCATAAAAGTGCTTTCACAAAAGTGCTTTCAGAAAAGTGCTTTTATAAAAATACTTTCTTAAAAGTACTTTCTTAAAAGTATTTTTATAAAAATGCTTTCATAAAGTATTTTTATAAAATTCAACTAGGGATAATTTTATAAGTGGTATTTTAAAATTCAACTAGGGATAATTTTGGAAGAAAAAAATTGAGAGCACTTAAAAGAAGCTGGAAATTTGGGCTTAAAAAATAAGCCCTTGTTTTTAAAATAAGAACTTATTTCGGGCTTATTTCCTAAATACCAATAAGTGCTTAATGACCCAAATAAGCACTTACTTTTAAGCACTCCCAAACATGGCCTAAGACTTGTCAACGAGTTATATCTGGTTCAGAATAGGGTGAACCAGTACCTAACGGATTATTAATTTTTGGATCTAATGTAGACCATGATGTCACTGAAAGGGATGGTAGGATCCATCGTATGGACGCCAAAACTGTTGCGGAATGGGTGGGCGAATTTCAAAAATTTCTTACCTACCTTTCAATTGGGAATCGCATTCCCTGATTTTAGAATCAAGACTCAAGGATCCCGCTTGAACCAGAACTGAACCAGATCTGAACCAAAAGAGAAGGGAGTGATTATACCTGATCCAAAGAAATAATATCTCCCAAAGTTGGTGTTCACGCCCAAGGAAGACACCAAGATCTGCTCCTGCTGAACATGACACAACAACTGTGGAATAGAACCAGCAGAGTGCATCCTACACACTGAATCCTTCACAAGAATCCTCTTGAAACAATGAGCACCAAACTGAATCATCCTTTCAGCAAAGACTGATATCTCACAGAGAAATCGAACTGCGGTAGAAGGTGGCGGCTGCTGAAGGAGAAAGCTAGAGAAGAAGATGGCGAACTGCTTTTTCTTCTCTAGGGTTTCTGAGATCCTATCTCAAAGTTGTAGAGTGTGTTCTACAAAATCCCTAGGGTTCGAATTCTTGTATTTCGAATTAGGGTTTCCTCTAGTTGCTTAATGATTAAGAAAAAAGCTCCTAATCATATTAGGAGTTTCCCTTATCCAAATCTGTATTTGGATTAGGACTCTTCTTAATCTTATCTGCAGACTAGATAAGCTTTTGGGCTCATCCTAATCTCAGATCCACCCCCTGTTAATGACTAATCGAATCAGCCCAGTTCGAAATGGGCTTTAGGCCCAATAAGAATCAAGTGCTCAAAAGTCTTCCAAACTGCTGCCCAGTTGGGCTTCTTTGTATGGCATGGGACCCAAGCATTGATCTACAYRCCAGCCACATGGGTTCGGCCCAGCCTCTGTTACAAGGCCTAGCCGAATTCACCGGAGAGCCCAGTGAACCCTCTAAGCCCATCACATGGACCCTATGGGCCCAACACTTACACTAAGTGGTCCTTGGGCCAAGCCATCTTATAAAAACCCAGGGACTGTGGGCAGGTGCAAGATTAGCCCATTAGGTATTATCCCAAATGGCCTTACACTTAACCTCTCAGTCCATAATGATCAAGCACTGCCCGACAAGAGAGGACCTCTCCCTCGGCTGCAAGGAATAGTGTTGCACTCTCTACTCATATGGATCCCGGGAATTAAAACCATTTGCAAACATTTTGAAATCATACATATCTATATATCATATATATAAATTTTGCAAAACAAAATTCCAACGATTGAAATCATCTGCCGACAGTTTGGTTTCCATCAGAGAGAGTGCATCCTCGATCATTACCTTTGTCCGACAAAGGGGTTGATCCTGTCACTATGATCACCCACTCATATGAATTCTCAGACTATCCCAACATACCCAGATTTTGACCCCCGCTAAGGATCTCACTGATTGGCATATCAAAGACAACCCAATCTGACACCTAGTGCAGTACCATAATCGGGTCTAGGGGTCAGGTGTAACTTTCCAGTTTTGCCCATCAATCTCCAAGGTCTGGGGCAATATTGGAAATCTAGTCCGATTCAAGGGTTCAAGTAATCCTACACTGTGTGTGCCTTGGGTCTCACCCTGGCGGCTGAGACAAGCCACCCCAATAGTTGGCAGCACACCAGTGTGAGCCTTGGCAAGATAAATCTCCCCAGACTCATCCAACGGCTGTGAACATTTAAAACCAACACAAGTCTCATTAAGTGTCCAGTTTTAGGGTCTTACACAGAAGTATACCATACAACATGAATCAAACATGTACTTCATGTATTTACATTAAATATTAAAAGTACATCAGAATTGATTGAAGCTAAAGGCATACAAAAACTGTCCAACAGTCACTACATACACATCCAACCATCCAGGTGGGATGTGCATGGGTGGGCCCACTTTTAAGATGTCATCAGGAAGATGTGTAAATAAGGGTAAGTAGTAACTCTAACAACCAATTAGGTACAAACACGTCACTGTGAGTGATCCACACTGTTATCAGATGATTGACATATTCACCTCTGATTTGGTTGTTAAATGGTCAAATCTCAACAATTACAACACAATAG